CACAAACTCACACACACACACACACACACATTGTTTAGGGTGTTAATTTCCGCAAGATTCAACCGATTACTTCTGTTTGATCTTATCGAAATTTCTACTTATATAACTTTTAGGAATTTCATTGATTTTTTTTGCTAATCATGATCCGAATTTAATTAAATTTTTCGTTTATTTTGTATTTTTAGGGTTTGAAATTTCATAACTTCAGTTCATGACTTCTATGAGATTTCATCTGAATATTTTCATTTTTATTGTTCTAGGGAATTTCATCGAATTTGTTTATTGCTAATCACAACTTTAAGCCAATTACGAGAATTTTTTTTAATGAATTTATTGGGATCATTTTCCTTAATTGATAATCAATCCTAATTTCTTCGAGAAATAGCAATAAAAATCCAAAAATCTCGAAAATCCATAAAGATATTGAGCTAATGGTTTAATAGTTGTGCAACTTGGTTCAGTATTGCAATTAATTTGAAGGCGATTTGGCATATTAAATGGTTTTTTCAGGTAGTGGAGATGTTGTGAAGGCTTCTTTTTAGTTCGGGGTCTATGGTCAACTTTTTTGTCTATTTTAACTTATCCTTTTTGTATAATGAAGGAGGGTTGTATATGAGTTTTTTGAGATTAGGTTTTGAGATATTTAGCCTATCGGTTTGCTGAGTTTTTGGTACAATGTGTGAACAGTAAACATATTAGAGGGGTGTTGACTGGAACTCAAACACGTTCTCCTCTGTCTATTTGAACTTAATTTTCAGTGCCTATGTTGTATTAGAATCTATTTACAGAATTTTTCTTAGCGTTATAACTTTTTATCTTATCACAGGTTGTGGCTGTTGGAAAGAAATTTTGCTCAAATGAGGTTCAAAAAGGGTGATAAGGTGGAAGTAATGAACAGAGCTGAGGTGCCAATCTCATGGCGTGCTGCCGAGATAGTGTCTGGTAATGGCCACACTTGCAGTGTTAGATATGGTTCTGGTTCACCAATGCAAAGTGAAAATATCAAAGAAAGGGTATCAAGGAAAATGATAAGGCCCTGCCCCCCTGTAGTGCAGTGTGTGGAGACTTGGGCACCTGGGGACATTGTGGAGGTATATAATGACTGCTCTTGGAAAGTTGCCATCATGCTCAGTATTTTACCACGTGATCGTTATTTGGTGAGACTACTTGGTTGCTCTCTGGAACTTAGCATTCCTATATCAGGCATGAGAGATCGACAAAATTGGAAAGATGGCAAATGGATTTTTATCAGAAAGGTACATATTCTTTTTCATTTTATTATTATGTTTTGGCTTTACGGAGAAATTTAAGCTTGTTATAAAAAATTTGTAGTAACTTGGTGTTGCTCTCATCATTTATCTGCTCTTTTCCCTGCCTTTGTTTTTAATTAGAAAAAGTTCATTTGACAGGATTATTTTGTATTGCTGTCTACGTCAGATCCATTATGTTTTGTTTGAGTCCATATATGTTTTTAACTAGATCTTTTTATGAGAACTGTTTCATTTGTGTATATGTGTCTCTATGCGTTCGGTCTCTGGAGCAAAAATGGACTGGACATGGTATAGTCCGTGTAGCTTGAATAATATGGGAAGTGGGTTTGACCCTAGTGGTTAAGTGTTCTAGATTATACGCATCAAATCAAATTATAAATTATTATTCTAATTGATGGCAGTTTCGGTAGCGTCTATGCAACGAGGGAACACTTTTGTACGTCTGTTTAGTTGTCCTTACACAGTATTGTATTTGATGTGCTTATTAGCTTATGGTAATAAGCAGGTGAATTTTATATATGATGCATATGGTGTATCTTTTAATAATTTGTATAAAAAATTCAGAATCTGTTTCTTCCTTGCCTTCCCTGATCTCACTATTGTTTTCTTTTTAGGGTTGTGATCAAGCTGGGACCCAGAGATCTAACAAAATTTCAGCTCAAGATTATAATCGGAAGATGAAGTCGCAGCCGCTGCAACTTGATGCACATACTAAAGTTCTTGGAGAAACTGATTGTTTAGCCACTGAAGGGAAAAATAGAGGACAAGAGTCTTGTTTAATCTCATCAAGATCCCTAAAGAGAATGTCTCCTTACTGCACATGTGGTGTTGATTCACTTTATGGGAATGCTCAGAAATTTCAAGCAATTGAGACAGATAATCGCAGGCAACGAGCAGCTCTGGTGACCTTACAGGAAAAGGTAGATGCTGTTGCTTACCCAAGAGGGACTCTGGGTGAAAAATACGTGCATACTTCCATTAACATTAGATCAAATGGATTTAATGAATTGAAGAGAGAAGATTTAGGTGGTGTCATTGGCTTTTCCCCTAGGAGAAGCTTGGAACCTAGTGATTCTGATAACGATGCCTGCTCTGTTGGTAGTTGTAGTGTCACTAGTGAGAGACCAAACGAATTATTAGGTCATCTTCCACGAGTTTCACGTCGAGTGTCAGGTGGCCTTTGTAGTGATGCAGAGTCGTTTTGTGGTTCAGGTCCTTCAGGATATAAGGAGAAAAGTCATAATAATCCTCCAGAAGAGGAATTGGCAACAAGTGTTCATAGATTAGAGTTGCATGCTTATCACTGCACCCTGGTCGCATTATATGCTTATGGACCATTAACTTGGGAAAAAGAAGCATTATTAACCGATCTTCGTATAACACTGCATATTTCAAATGATGAACATTTGATGGAGCTAAAAAACCTAATTTTTTCTAAAGGTTCATATTATATCAAATAGCAGCTGTAATGTTTTTCTTTCTTTTCTTCTCTATGTTAGGTTCCTGTTGCTAACAGAATTGTAAAAAGCCAGATGTCATGTTATGTTTTGTAACTTTGGAGGTTCAGTTTAATACAGTTTTTCTGACTGTTCACTTTTGTAGTATGGGATCTTGTATCTATTTTTTTGTATTGGAAATATGAATCAACATATCATGGTGAATGACTGTACTGATTCATGTCCTTGTGCGGTCAGGGTTTTCTTCAGTTCACTTTTATCTTGTGATTCCTATGCGCAGTATAGAACTACATTGCACACATTAGAAATATCTATTTTAGATCCAAAGCATCATGTAGCACAAAATATACGAGATGCGAATGATGTTTTAGCAACAGCGGGTATAGGAGTGATAGTGCACTGTATCCTTCATTGAAGTGTGTGTTAAAGTTCTTTCGTACCTCTTAAATGATTGTACGAGGAGCTTTTGCAGACTAGATGCCAAAATATTTGAAGGAGGGCACATGCCCATTATTGTAGGCTGTAGTTGAAGATTAACTGATGCAAATAGTTGAAGGATAAGCCTGGAAGTTTTTTATCTGAATATTTAGTTTGTACAGCCTTCAGGTGTAATTTGGAATTTTGCTTAGCTGTATGAAATGGTGGTTATAACTTGGGACTAGAAACTTTAAGTCTTATCTACTTTTCCTATGAATCTTTGTATATAAGCTCTAATTCTGCACAACTTCCCAATGTTACTAAATGGTTTTAACTATGTATTTATGGACAGAATTTTGCTGTCTATAAAATATTGGCAGCATATGAAGCTCCTTTTTGAGGATATTATTAATCAGTCCCATGCGTATTCCAGGGCCAAAAATTGAAGCATCATCCCTTGCTTCCATATGTATAAAAATGATGCTGTTTGCGGCCATTCAAGTGGGCATAAAATGGGGATACTGTAAGCAACTGCTTTCCCAGAAATCTTGGCAAATCTCTCGTATCACAGGTTTCCTATTTTGTTTGCAGTTTAACATTGTTTGTATCTGAGCTTCAAATCTGCATAAATTCCGTCTTTCCGATGGAAGTAAAAGAGTTGATGATATGTTCTTTGCAGTTCTTCATGGAAGATTTGTTGTTGGAAGATGTAGACATGTAGTGAATTTTGTTTGGTACATTCTATATAACTTTAGGTAAGCCCACATTTGCTATCAAATAATTTGGATTTCATTACCGTGGATGGTGGTTAGATTTAAGATCTGCTGGTGATTCTATAATGTGGTGTTTTTCTGTATCTGTTTCCCATGTTTCCCTATTATAAGTAGGTCAATTGCCATTGTTTCCTTTGCATTTTGAATTATTCCTTGAGCAGATATATACAACAACAACAACAACAACAACAACAACAACAAACCCAGTAGTTTCCCACAAGTGGGGCTTGAGCAGATATATAATCGTAGCAAATTTTAATTTCACGCTGATGGTGTATTCTTCTTCTTATTCTTTATTTGTCCATTTCAGGCTGTTTGTTGGTTTATGGAAAAATTTTTGGCATTTGGAAAATCTATAGCAATTTACTGTTTCATATTGGAATCTGTTCCAGGCAGGTTCTCATAATATGTTCCTTATAGAAAAAAGGGAGAATTCTTTTTTTTTTGTTCTCTTATGAATAATTATATTTACGCGTGTTGACCTTCTCCTAACCTTGCTTACCCTGGCTGCACTTTTCATAATGTTAGTTAAGGAATATTTCTTGATCTCAAATTTTTTTCTGGTTGTATTGGGTCAGGGAGGATGGGGCCGTGGCTGAAGGGGCGTTTCACCTGGCAGAGGTGCCAGTTGATACCTCAAGAGGTTATTCCAGATACCTGTTTGGTAGTCATCCTTGTCTTTTTCTTTATTTTCTATGTGATCTTATCATCCTCCCAATTTGATGATTCTCTCATCTACCAAATTACTCTAGGACATCTGCACTTTGGATATTTCTCCAAGCTAAAGTTATACATTTGCACTTTTGCAAAATCATGTATTTCAAAATGAGAATTTGCTCAAGTATGAATGCTTTAGATTGCTTAGTTTTAATGAATTGCACCCAGATTTCTATACTTCACGAATAATTTTTGGCAATTTCTCTATGTTCTCTGTTATGTGAATGGAAGAGACAACACAAAAGGTTGAGGGTGTTCAGAATTCCATTATTGCCGTTTGAGTTGTTGAGTTCCGGTTAGACCTTTTTTGAGTTTCTATCTTTTGAAAGGTGTTTACAGCAGGCCAAACCTGGCATGTGGAAGCATGATGAGGGGTTTTAGATAGTGGTGTTGCCTTTTTTACTTTGAGAAACCTGAGAATGCCTTGATCCACTATGTTGAGGTCAGATGCAAATTGTACAAGGAAAATAGGAAAAAGGAAAAAGGAAAATGATCTTGACTTATTATCTTAAAAAGCGAATCGTTGAGCATAATGAGTTGAGCTAAGGAGTCATTTGGGTGGTGCCTCAGGACGTGAGAAGCTTACGAGTTTAACCCATTATGCATCATGTGGACCATATGATTGGAAAAAAACAATAGATGCTTTGAAGGAAAGAGACAACCTACCTCTTTTGTGGAAAATAGATGTCAGCAGGCTATTTATGCTAGGGAGCAATATGCTGGATAGTCCATCTTTCTTTTGAATTTCTTGGAGGGTATGATGCTGTTATGATGCGCTTGATCCTCTCTTTTGTACTTCTATAGTACCTTCGTTGTACTTCTATAGTACCTTCTTTGTACTTATTATTATAAAATACCTTAGTTTACCACACAAAAGAAAGAGTTGACGTAAGGAGTTTGCAATCTTATTACTTCATTCTCAAAAAAAAGTTTGCAATCTTATTACTTTGCTCTGCAACCAATACAGGCCTTTTTGCTTTTTGCTTTGTCGGCCATGGATTGTTCAAGCTTGTAAACAAGTCATTAAAACTCGGTATGCATCAGCCCTGTTATCTTTGCAGCACCCTGAGACACTGAACTGTCTTATAGAAACCATTTTGTTTTCCTTTATGCAGTTAATTTCACTGCCTAGGAGTTGGGGACATGACAATGGCACCGAGATTGGGAATTAAATCCTAGAAGAGGCTTTAATGATTGGGAGATGGAAGTAGGGCAATTACTCCAATTACTTGGCACAACAGTGGTGGAGGAAGACAAGGAAGATCTTATGGTTTGGACAGCAAGCAATGATCTGTGATATTCTGTCAAAAGCTGTTATAATCTTCTCCAGGAACAAAATGATCAGTATGAATCTAATTGGCCATGGAAAATGTTATGGAGAACCAAAGCACCTACCAAAGTAGAGAAGCCAATTTAACTCAAGATAATTTACAAAAAAAGGGATTATGCCTAAGTAACAAATGCTACTTATGTGAAGAAGGGTTGGAAACTATTAATCATCTATTTATCCATTGTAAAATTGTTAAACAGTGCTGGGAGCTTTTTCTGAATCTGTGTGGCGTTTCGTGGACTATGCCTCCCGACATAAGATCCTTACTGGTCAGTTGGCAAGGGCAGAAGGTATCAAGGAATCAGAAGCAACTATGGTGGACCATCCCTCTATGCATTTTCTGAACCATCTGTGAAGAAAGGAACAATGTTTGCTTTGAGGACAAGAGGAATCACATTGCTAGAATAAAAATACTTGTCTTCAAAATTTATTTTTTTGGTGTAAGAAATGTTTAGTTGAAAGTCTAGATCAATATATGGAGTTTTTGGGTGTGCTAAGCAACTTGTAACCGGAAGTATGCTGTTATAGGTGTTGTCTGATTTTGGTGTAATCTTATGTACCATCTTGGTGCTTTTATCAATAAAATCTTGTGTGATAGTAGCTCAGATCTTGATTCTTTTTGCTATGTCACATACGACGTTTGTCATACTAACCTTTGCAGTATGACGTAGAGACAGAACCAAGACGTATATTTATTGTGTGGAGCAGGGGGTGTTGAATATATTGAAATGTAATAGTTGATGAGTGACAGAAAAAAAGAGTTTACAAATATTTATTTTGGAGTTTACATGAAACAGGAAAATACCAAAATATTATAGTTGTAATAGTACCAAAGTATAATTGAAAATTGGTAAGAAATAATCATTAGTATCCCGTACAATATCATATCTCATAAATAAAAATATGATATAGAGCTTCTGTTCTATGTATTTAATTATTTGCATATGACTTCCTGACATACCACTACAAAGGATTGGTATTTTTCTTGGGCAGGTAGAGAATATTTTTTTCTTGCATATATACTCTTTTAATTAATTGGTATTTCGTCCTAAGCCTTTGCATACTTAATTAATGTTGAAGATGAAGAGCACAGTTTTAAGAAAATATAGAGTTTGCGTGTATAGCGAGCGGACTTAAAGCTCTAAAGCATTTTCAGATACGTAACAACTTTCAGATAGGACAGCCATATAAACAAAGGATTCACTAATCTGATAGTTTGTCAATTAAACCTAACAGAAAAGCTTTCATTGCAAACCAAGCATCACAAAGAATTGTAAAGTTTAAGTGCTCAAAAATTATCTAAAAATACATCTAAGAAAATAATCTAATAGTCTCCACTGAAGTGCAGAGAAGAGATTTTCAACAAACAACTTGAACAAAGCTCGTTACACTCGAAAGAGACTATAAACAATGGCCTATTGATGTCCTTGATCCCCCGTGGCAATGGCGGAGGAGTAAGAAGAAAGAGAGAATTTATGCAGGATAGAAGCTACACATTACTCCTCCTTAGGTTTCAACATTTCACATGCACAATAGGATACATTCCTTCGATATCATTATCTTTCTTGGCTTTTGAGCAGTGTATCAGGGGATAGGATGAGAAAAACAAGCAAAGAAACAGCTGGTTTGAAGAGAAAAATGGGCAGACCTCGAGTTTCAGGTTTCAGTATGGACAATCTTATGAATTGACTTCTAGCAGGAAGAGCGAAATTATTTAAACAAGTGTCGTTAGCCGCTTGGCTTCCCCCGTAAATACATTCTACAGTAAAAATTCTTTTCACTTTACAGGATAGTTTGAGCAGGCAATATATATTTATTCATAATCAAGAAATCCCAAAGGGCCAGCTGGCGCAAGGTCGAAACTTGGTGCACAGTGGACCCTCCTCTCTACCCTTCTCCACTTAAATATCAGGCTTTTTTGTTCGTGGCATGGTTCGAACTCGTGAGTCTAATCATACAGCACGCGTTGCACTCCCACTACTAGCCCGAAGCACTGGGCAGTTTGAATAGGCACCTCACTAAAATAACCTTCACTCTCCCAGTTTTAGTTGCAGAGATGGTCGTGCGAAAGCCACAATGGTTTACACATCTGGTCAGAAGGTCTTAAACCAGACAGCCACTCCAAATGGTAGTTGAAGTCTCCCCATCTACGAATATAACATCGCCTACCCCCAAACCCTCTCCACTGCCCAGGTCCACCTCCTATAAATAGAAGAAACAAATCAAAACTGTATCTACCAGATTAAATTAATTGAGTAAGAATTTTAGAAAAGCAGGGCAATCTCATGCTCACAAAATGACCTTGAAAGAACTTTTTAGAAGGTAAAATAATTTCAATAAGAAGAGTACCACAGAGGTGGTGAAAAGCACAAAAGATGGTGCAAGAAGCATGAGTACATCAGTAGCTCATACAATTCATAAAGTCAAAGACGAGCTAATTCATTATTCATCCACCCAACTATCTCACACCAGAAGTATAAAAATGCCCTTAAAAAAATATACAGTTACTTAAATATGTGCATTTTAAACTCCCAAGCTTCTCCCTCTTATGCATAACTATCCCAGTTTTGGCACAAAATTGAATAATTCCCAGCACCTTCTTAAAAAATACATTTAACATTCCCAGCAATCGATCTCAACTACAAGAAGAGCAAAATAACTATGAGAAGATGTTATCGTCAGCAAATTCAATCAGACCCATTCTTATTACTCCATTATGAAATGAAGAATTCAGTGTAAAAACCTGCTACATACTGTTGACCAACACGGTCAAGGGCCTTGGAAGAGAATCTGGAGGGACAGGGCTATGTATTAAGGGGCTTTTTTCTGTTGGTTGGTGTCTTATGAGGCAGCCCTGACTTGGTGAATTAAAAGGTGGGGAATCATACCTCTGTAGAATGGTGGCTTAAGATAGCAATCATCTGTTCCTATGCAAAGTGGCCTCAAAAATGTTGCTATCTCTTCCTCAATATATTTGGAGTAAGATTCGACTCTCTTATCAACTGAATCCAGTTGTTCACTTATTGATCAACATTTACCAGGCAGCTTTAACTTGTCGGTTCAATTTCAAGATTTTAGATGACCCAAGTTCATATCCAAAACAGATAAAACCATTCAATGAAATTATGAATCAGCAGAAAATTCAGTTTCTCTTTTGATTTCTCCCCAACCCCAACCCCAACCCCAACCCCTCTTTTATGAGTGCAACAGGTGACGATCTTAGAAAGATGAACTAGAATTAATACCTTCGAGCGACTCGATCGGACGAAGCAAAAGCATTTCATTGGGCCCCAACCATTAAAGCTGTCAACCTAAGAGATATAGAAATGAATGGTCATAGTGAAACCAAATCTCATCAGTATCTAACTCAATTCACTGTTAAAACTAGTTAGCAAGTTCAGTTTACCTTGCAGACAGCAGGAGCAGAGACATGTGACAAGAATGAAACCCAAGGGACAATATATCTCTTCAAGAAATTAAAACAGGCATGCTAGAGGGTATCTGGTTCATTGCGGCAATGAAGTACCAAGAGCGAAACTGTTTCCTCTGAATGATCCACTCACAAGAATATCATAGGTTGCATCATCGGGCTTAAGACCTTTGTCAAGCATTTCATCATGCAACCTAAATGCCTCATGCAAATTTCCCTCCTTGAAGTATCCAGCAATTAGTGTATTATAAATCAGAACATTAGGAGTCGTACTCTTTTTACACATCTCCTCTAAGACCTTGTGGGCATTCTCAACCTGACCTTTATTGCAAAGACCGTGTACAAGAACAGTATATGTGATGTCGTCAGGCATTATACCCTTTCCAAGCATCTCGGTGAACAAATCAGATGCCCTAACTATTTTTCCATCCTTTAGAAGCCCATCAATCAATGTGGTGTATGTTTCCAAATCACATGTAACGCCTTCATTGATCATCCTATCACGCAAGACTAGTGCTGCTTCCATATTATTTACATTTTTAAACCCACTTATCATGCTGTTATACACAAATAGGTTAGGAGATAGACCAACTTGAAGGATTTCATCAAAAAGTTCAGAAGCACTTTTCATGTCTCTTCTTTTGCAAAAGCCATCTATAAGGACAGCATACGCAATAACATCTAACTTAATTTCTCTATTTCTCATCTCATTCAGCATTTTTAAAGCTAGATCAATGTTATTGCTTTTGCAGAATCCATCAATCAAAGTTGTGTAAGTTACAACATCTGGGGAAATCCCGTTATCGCACAACTCTCTGTAAACATCCAATGCTGAGGTGACATCATCTTCCTTCAAAAATCCATCTAATAGGCTATTGTAAGACATGCATGTTGGAAGGAGACCTCCTGCAACAATCTTTTTAAGCAAATCTTTTGCCTCTGACATTTTGCCGGCTTTAGACAGACCACTTATTAGGGTATTGAATGTGTAGTCAGTAGGGGCAATTCCTGAAGTGACCATTTGATCAAACATGTTCCTCGCTTTATCAGTGTCACCTTTTCTAAAATATCCGTCAATCAAAATGCTATATGTTACAACATTAGCTTTCAACTGCCTTTCTGGCAACTGAGAGAACAAATCCAATGCTTTGTCCATATTCCCGTTTCTGCAATTTCCCAGAATCATATTGTTGTACGAAGCTATAGAAGGTACAACTCCATTATCAACCATCTTATCCCACACGTTTTGAGCGTCATCCATTCGACCCTTCTTACAAAACCAGGCTATTATACTATTGTAAGCGAAAACATTGGCCGTCCCCGAATTTATTGCCTCATCAAACACATTCAATGCTTCATCTAACAAGTTAACACTCAAAAATCCCTTTATTAATGAATTCTCAACATAAACATTGGGCTTGATACCAGCAAGTTTCATCTGCCTGTAAATTTCTACTGCTTTTTCAATATTCCCATTTTTACAGCATCCTTCTATTAAAACTGCATATGTCACCTTGTTTGGAGTGAGTCCATACTCGGCCAGTTTGTCAAACAAATCCAAAGCACTTGATAAATTGCCCTGCACATGATACCCTTTCATCAAACTTGTTGAAACCACCAAGTTCATTGGATGCCCATTACTAAGCATTTCATCCTTGAGCCTTAACGCCTCAACCATATTCCTTTGCTTCACACAAGTGGAAATCATGTTCACATAAGTGCCCTCAGAAGGAACCCAACCCCTGTCTTTCATCTCCCCCAACAACTCCAACGCAAAACCTAGATTCTGCTCCTTACAGGCGACATAAACACAAAGGCTATACAGCCCTGCGTCAAGCTTAATCCCACTCATCTTAGCCTCCTTAAAAAGCTTCACTGCCTCCTCCATTTTCCCTTCTCTCAGACAAGCAGACATCAAAATATGCACAGTTCGATAATCATAACAGATCCCTCTAGACACTACATCAGTATACAAATCTCGCACTACTCCAATCATGCCGTGCCTCACCAATGCCTTTAAAAGCTTGTTCGTAATCGGGATCCACGGTGTTATATCAAGTTCAACCATCTCATTAAAACAATCAATTGCATCATTCAATCGATTAACTTTCACACAACTATTTATCAAGAAATTAAAAACTCGAGGATTTAACTCGAAATCAAAAGCCTTGCAACAATTAACTAAACCATTAAAAATAACAGTAGCAGATGGACCAGAGTCACTAAAAGCATAATTATCAAGCAAGCGTCGAGCTTTATGTTGATGCATTGTACAACTTACTAATATGTGAAGCAAAACAAAGAAAGGGTCAGATTTAGTATGCAAAAAACCCCGTTGTAGCCTAGCAGTTTGAAAATACCTATAAGCTGAATCAGGGTCATCTCTGTGGCTCAAAAGCACATCAACTACATGATTCTTGGTAAACCCACCATCTTTTGAAAAGGGTCTGTCACAAGAATGGTCAATGTCATGTAAAGGTACAGGCTTTTCAGAATCTTGAGGGTTTAAGATGGGTTTTTCGAGAGAATCTGAAGGGGAAAGTTCAGAAATTTGTGGGTGTTGATTTGTTAGTGAGGATGAGATTGAAGAAGTGCAAAGATGGCGTCTGCAAAAGAGGATTAGCCATGGAGGAATCTGTGAGGAAGAAGAAGGGAGAACTAAAGATTTCATTTTTAGCTAGTTTTTTGTCAGCCCTAAACCCAGCGCAGCAGTTGCTGGTCGTTTTCATTCATCTCAGGAAATAAAGAATTTGCTTTTTAGCCCTCTTCATCACCTATTAGTCCTCAAACGACAAACATGATACATTTCCTTGCATTTTTAGTTGGTCCTTTTAACTCTGCCATTAACGTGTTTAGATAAGAAGAAGAATCTTTATCAAAATACTTTTTCTTGATGAAATTATCTTAATTGTTCAAAATATTTATTCTAGTTAAATTATTATTTTTAAGAGTAGTGATAAAATTACCTCCCTCGCTAATTGGCAAAAATCATTTTCTTTTATAATATTTCTACTTCGGCTACACATAACTTTTTTAAGTTCAATATTCGAACATAATAATTTAGTTCTAGTAATCTATATATATATATATATATATATGTATATATATATGTATGTATGTATCTATCTATCTATATCTATCTATCTATATCTATATTATTATAAAAGCACGAATGTTTAACATTAAATATTGAACGACTAAAATATACCTGAAATCTTGATCGACTTTTATGCCCTTAAATATTTATATAATTTATGAATATAATTATAATTACACAAAGTTGGAATTCTTTTCGGATTTAAACTGCACGTATACAAACCATACAAAGTGTATAGTTTATTTTCAATATGATTCATATTAGATACGATTTATACTATCCAATCAAAGTTAAACTTTCATTAGGACTCTTATAATTTATACACTTAGAATTTTTGTTAGTGCCACATAGTTGAAGGGAAATTCTATTATTTATAGGGTTATCATGGACAAACGGTGGGCTGGATTCTAGGAGGAAATTGAACGCTCCAAGGACGCTCTTTGTTAAGGTTGCGTTTGATGGAATTTTATTCTGTATCTTTTATTGTGAATATAAATATTTTGAATACAGATTATATTTTAGCAAGATTTTCAATATTTTTCTTTTTTATTGAAGGTTGGGTCGGATTAGTTTATTCTAATTTTCTATATAATTTTTACTCTCTATATATGTAAGTTTTACTTAGGTACAGAATCATGGAAGAGAAGATTATTTGGCAAAAGACACGAGAAGAAAAGTTAATATATATATGGGAAAAGCGTCTTTGTTTTCCTTATGAAGATGTGGGTTTTGCTTTTCTTTCTATGTCAAAATGATACTACCCTAATTCTGCTTTACTCAGGTACATATCTATTGATAGGTTTGATGCATGGAGTGTTTGTTTTCCTTTTTTGCTTTTAATATTTTTCGGTTTTATGAATAACGTATAGTGGAACTCGCTTGGCTTTTCTAATTGATATAGATCATGTATTGTTTAGTGTATCTTAATGTTAATGCACTTAAACTACTTTAGGAAGATGTCACGATCCGAAATTTTCCATCGACGGGACCGTGATAGCGCCTAATATTTCACTTGCTAAGCAAGCCAACGTTAGAGAATTATTAAACCAATTCCTTATTCTCATTCAGTAATTAACAATAATTAACTAAGATAAAATATAATAAATGCAGAATATCATAAAACTCTATTAATTGCTACCACCCGGATCTGGAGTTACAATTCACGAGCATTCTAGAATTTACTACAAGTAATAGTCTGAAAGAAATACAAATGTCTGAATGAAAGAAACAGTAGAACACAAAAGATAGACGGGGACTTCAAGGTCTGTGAATGCCGACAGATCTACCTTGAGTCTTCGGACAGCGGACCAATAGCAAAATCTCGATCAACCCGAGCCGGTATCAAAATCTGTACAGAAAGTACAGAGTGTGGTATCAGTACAACCGACCTCATGTACTGGTAAGTGTCGAGCCTAACCTCGATGAAGTAGTGACGAGGCTAAGGCAAGGCACCTACAAATCAACCTGTACAATTTAATAGTGTATATATAAATAACAGAAATGAAGAACTAAACAAGAAATGTCAGGAGGGGAACATACTAAGGGGAATACAAGATAAAGAACTACAACAGAATGATCACCGGAGCAGTCAATATACCATGAATTAACAGGAATAGTGAACACAGTAAAGGAAAAATGCACGTCATTACCCTTCGTACTTTTACTCNATATAAATCTCAACTTTTAAATGAATACTCGATTACCAACAGAAAATTCGTAACCATGATAATGGCGATCAATTTAACAATACTAGTATAAACATGTAGCAATTAGGCATAGGAAAGAGACAATATAAGAAAATGGAAGAAACATGGAATACAGGTAAATTGGCGGCGCATAAGTACTCGTCACCTCACATATACGCCGCTCACATGAATTTCACTTAGCAAATAATCTAAGGTTCCTAATTCCCTCAAGTCAGGGTTAGACACAATACTTACCTTGCTCCGAAGGCCACTTAATTCTCAATCACAGCTTTTCCTTTGGAATTCACCTCCAAACCACTCATATCTATTCAAAAATGACTCAATAATATCAAATATTGCTAAAGGAATCAATTATATTTTCATAAATTAAATTTCCCAATTTTTTTTCCAAAAAGTCAAAAAATCGACCCCGGGCCCGCTTGATCAAAACTAGAGGTTAGGACCAAAATCCTTTTACTCATTCACCCCCGAGCCCGAATATGTAATTAGTTTTGGAAATCCGACCTCAAATTGAGGTCTAAATTTCCAAATGTTCGAAATCTCTAGTTTCTACCCAAACCCCTAATTCTACCATAAAAACTCTAGATTTTAGGTTGATGATTCATAAAATGTAATGGGTAATTGAAAGAAAATGGTTTAGAAGCACTTACCAATACTTTGGGCAAGAAAATGACTCTTGAAAATCACCTCTACCCGTTTGGTTCTTGAAAAATGTTGAAGAAATGGCTTAAACCCGTGTTTGATTCTGTTTTATGCACTTGGCGACAATATTCATCGCGATCGCGTGAACACTGCCGTGATTGCGAAGAGCAGCCTCCTAAGGACTTATGCAATCACGGGAGGCTTTACGCATTCGCGAAGGCTTAGCCCGCCTTACCTTCGCATTCGCGTGAAATGGCTCGCGTTCGTGTAGAGCTTCCCCAGGTCCCCTGCCCATCATAGCTAGAGTTATGCATTCGCGTTCGACCTGCCGAGTTCGCGTAGAGCAACTCCCCCCAATGCTCCACGTTCACGACCATGGTCTCGCGTTCGCGTAGAGTAAATCCTCCCCCAGCCTAGTTTCCCCTTCGCGATCGCGAGAGTGACTACGCGATCGCGAAGCACAGTATTGCAGACATCAGATACAGCAAAAATACGAGATTTTTTAAGTTCAAAACATCCCGTGGCCTATCTAAAACTCACCCGAGCCCTCGGGGCTCTAAACCAAACATGCACACAAGTCTAAAAATATCATACGAACTTGCTCGCGCGATCAAATTACCAAAATAACACCTAAAACTATGAATTTAGCACCAAATCAAATAAAATTCTCAAGAACACTTTAAAATTTCTATTTTCTCAATTGGACGTCCGAATCACGTCAAAATCAACTCCGTTTCTCACCAAATTTCACAGACTGCGCACGCAAATCGATGAGGGTAAAAATGAGATTTTTAAGGCTTAAAAGCGCAGATTCGAGTTCTAAAACATAAGATGACCTTTTGAGTCATCACATTCTCCACATCTAAAATAACCGTTTGTCCTCAAACGGACATAGAAAAGTACCTGGGCTGGTGAAAAGGTAGGGATATCTATTCCGCATATCAGACTCGGACTCCTAAGTAGCTGCCTCAATAGGCTGACCTCTCCACTGCACTCGAACTGAAGGGTAACTCTTTGATCTCAACTGGCGAACTTGTCGGGCTAGAATTGCCACCGACTCCTCCTCGTAAGTCAAATCCTTGTCCAACTGGACAAAGCTAAAATCTAACACATGGGACGGATCACCGTGATACTTTCGAAGCATGGATAAATGGAATACCGAATGAACAACTGCTAAACTAGGTGGCAACACAAGCCTGTAAGCCACCTCTCCCACTCTCTCCAGAATCTCAAAAAGTCTGATATACCTAGGGCTCAACTTGCCCTTCTTTCCGAACCTCATTACACCCTTCATGGGTGATGCCCGAAGTAACACTCTCTCTCCAACCATGAATGCAATATCACGAACTCTACGGTCGGCATACCTCTTCTACCTGGACTGAGCTGTGCGAAGTCGATCCTGAATAATCTTGACCTTATCCAAGGCATTATGTACTGTAACGACTCGGCCGATCGTTTTGAGAATTTGAGCCCCGATCCCCTAATATCTGCTTTCCCCATATTTGTTTCTGCTTTTGGTACTTGCCGGAGTGATTGATTATGGAATTCAGAGAGTTTTGGGACACTTAGTCCCTAGTTGTGAGTTTAAGCCTTAAAGTTTGGACCGTAGTTAGAACTGTATGAAGACGGATCCGGAATGGAATTCCATTGACTCCGTTAGCTTCGTTGAGTGATTTTGGGGTTAGGAGCACATTCGGAATGTGTTTTGGAGGTCTGTAGTAGATTTAGGCTTGAATTGGCGAAAGTTAGTTTTTCGGCAATTTCGGCCGATAGTGGAAATTTTGATATCGAGCTTGGAATGGAATTCCGAAAGTGGCTGCAGATTCGTAATGTCATTTGTGACATGTGTGTAAAATTTGAGGTCATTCGGACTAGATTTGATGTGGTTCAGCGTCGTTTGTATAATTTGGAAAATTTTAAATTCTTAGGCTTGAATCCGTGCTTAATTCATGATTTTGGTATTGTTCGACGTGGTTTGAAGGCTCGACTAAGTTCGTATGGTGTTTTAGGATTGGTTGTTATGTTTGGTTGAGATTCCGGGGGCCTCGGGTGTGTTTTAGATGCTTAACGGAATGAACTTGGACTTATAGGAATTTTTGGAGTTGCTAGTTCTGGTGTTTTCGCAACTGCGGTGGGGAGTCCGCAGGTGCGGCCTCGTAGAAGCGAGGCTGGGATTGCAGGTGCACTTTTAGGCCAGGGAGTCAGTGGTTGCAGATGCGGCGAGTGAGCCACAGGAGCGGAGCCGCATCTGCGGAAGGGCAGTCGCAGATGCAGAGGTGTGAAGGACCCAAGGTTCCGCAAAAGCGGACGATTGAGCGCAGAAGCACATCCGCATGTGCGGACTCATGCGCGCAGGTGCGGACCCAGCCCAAGTAAGT